CAGCGTTGTAAGTCAGTAAACTTACCACTGACCCACGGGAGGCACACCATATTTATAACAATTATATCAAACATAGTTGAGTATAAACGAATATGATAAATATATTTGCTTGTGTAAAAATATAGTGGTAACATTATATATTAACTAATGTTTCATTATTATTATTTCAGTTATTCTTGGAACAAAAAAGCATCTATTATTGTTCTGACAAACTAAATGTACACTGTGTTACTTGCACTGCTTTTGAATGAAGTGTCTGTTTTCCAGAACCTTGTCAAGCCTTTGGGTGAGGCAATTTATAATTATTATTTTCACCAATTACAAGGAAAATCAGACAGACCCGGTTGTCTTTGTCTCGTACATGAAGATATACATTTATGTAACTAAACACAAACCATTAAAAGTGTATTATTATTGGAGTACAATAACATTGTATGTGATAAATCTGGTCCTATTTACGACCACATGAAAAGTGAAGAGCGTCGTAGGTGTATCATTTAAGCAAGTAAACCAATCATATTCTATTGATTATACTAATCATTAATGTTTGTTACACTTTACAGAAAATAGCCCGTAACCATAAAATACTGACTACGTTCAGAATAAAATGAAAACTTGAGTGTGTAGTATATATGATGTGGCTAAATAAGTAAGGCTGAATTCAGAAGTGTTCAATTGCATATTTTCGGTTCTACTAAACAATCTTAATGTCTTAAGTAGATGCAGCTCGTTATGTAAAAGATCACCTTAATATCTTAAGTAGATGTAGCTGGCTATGTGAAAGATCACCTTAATGTCTTAAGTAGGTGTAGCTGGTTATGTGAAAGATCACCTTAATGTCTTAAGTAGGTGTAGCTGGTTATGTAAAAGATCACCTTAATATCTTAAGTAGATGTAGCTGGCTATGTGAAAGATCACCTTAATGTCTTAAGTAGGTGTAGCTGGTTATGTGAAAGATCACCTTAATATCTTAAGTAGATGCAGCTGTTTATGTGAAAGATCACCTTAATGTCTTAAGTAGATATAGCTGGTTATGTAAAATATCACCTTAATATCTTAAGAAGATGCAGCTGGTTATGTGAAAGATCACCTTAATATCTTAAGTAGATATAGCTGGTTATGTAAAAGATCACCTTAATATCTTAAGTAGATGCAGCTGGTTATGTAAAAGATCACCTTAATGTCTTAAGTAAATATAGCTGGTTATGTAAAAGATCACCTTAATATCTTAAGTAGATGTAGCTGGTTATATAAAAGATCACCTTGATATCTTAAGTAGATGTAGCTGGTTATATAAAATATCATCTTGATATCTTAAGTAGATGTAGCTGGTTATGTGAAAGATCACCTTAATATCTTAAGTAGAAGCAGCTGGTTATGTGAAAGATCACCTTAATATCTTATGTAGAAGCAGCTGGTTATGTGAAAGATCACCTTAATATCTTATGTAGAAGCAG